GTGGCCCAATCTCAGCTCACTGAAGCCTCAATATCCAGGGTTCAAGCGATCCTCCCGCCTCAGCCTCCTGAGTAGCTGGGACTACAGGCATGCATCACCACGCCTGGCTAATGTTGTTATTATTTTTTATAGAGACAAGCACTCACTACGTTCCCCAGGCTGGTTTTGAACTCCTGAACTTAATCAGTCCTTGCCTGCTTTGACCTCCCAGAGTGCTGTGATTACAGGCGTGAGCACCAGGCTTGGCCCTGCCCAGGAGCCATTTTTGTATCTACAGGTGTCATCCTATGCTGTAGACAGATGCCCTTTTTTTTTCAAGGCAAAAACCCGAGCCATTTTTCTCTCCCTCTTCAGAGTCTGGAACATCCTCTCAACTCAGCCCTGTGACTACTGCCTGGGGCTCTTGGCAGGGATGCAGGGAGGCCTGAAACGGCCAATGTCTATACAGAAAGTTCTAACGTAGAGCACTGAGTCAATGTGGGCACAAAGCCCTTTCACCTGGCAAGTCACAAAGCTCCGCTGCAGTTGTGTTTATGAAATACGGGGGGGGGGGGGGGTGGGGGGGGGAAAGGGATAACACCAAGGTACCATCTTTGCATTTCAGATCCACACAACTTAAAGATCTGCTGCCGAGTGAACGGGGAAGTGGTCCAGAGCAGCAACACCAACCAGATGGTATTCAAGACGGAGGACCTGATAGCCTGGGTCTCCCAGTGAGTGCCAGGGCCTGTCCTGCCAGTCCCACTCCATCCGCCCACATGTGGAGGCTGAGCTGAGCCCTCCACCCTTGGCTGTGACCACCTCAGCCAGCCCCTGGTCTCACCGGGTCCTTTGGCTTTGCTCCAGGTTTGTCACCTTTTACCCAGGGGATGTCATCCTGACTGGGACCCCCCCAGGTGTCGGTGTATTCAGGAAACCTCCTGTCTTTCTCAAGGTAGGTTAGCGAAAAGGAAAGAGAGCAAGGGCCCCGAAGGCCTGGCAGGCTTGGCTCAGACTTGAGAAGTACAGGCTTGTGTGGATGTGCGTGTGTCTGACGGAAGGGCTGACACCCTCATGGCCTGCTCTGTTGCAGAAGGGGGATGAAGTCCAGTGTGAGATTGAAGAACTAGGTGTCATCATCAACAAGGTGGTGTGATGGCTCCTGCACAGGCCCTGGACATAGGATGGGGGCATCTGCTCCCGCTCAGCCTAGCCCAGGGAAAGGCCCAGTGACAGGTATGGGCAGGTGCCGGCCCTGCAAGCCGCCTCTTCTGGGTAGAAGGGAGAAGGACAGAGCTCTCTTCAATAAATTTGTCAGGCCAAAGCAGCAGCTTGGCTTCTACTGTTTGTCTTCTTTTGGGCTTTGTTTCATGGGACAAGTCGGGGCATTTTGTGGGACTGGGGAAGAAGAGAGGAAATACACACGCATACGCCACAAAGATACTCCTGGGCTTGGGAAAAGACAACCTGTCTGGTCCCCTTGTTTATCACATCAAAGGAGGAAGAAAGCAAGAGATGGCAAGGGACAATCAAGCCTCAATGATTGTATTTATAGACCAGCTAAGGGTTTGCAGCCTCCTCTCCGTCTTCTGGCTCTAGGACACAGCTGTGTTGTGGGGCTGAGAAGTCTCGGCACAGGCTCCTTCTCACAGTTCTAGCTACAAATGAACTGCCGGATAAACTGTTCTAGTTTTTGCTGATTCTCCCGGCTGGCAAAAGTAGGGGACAGGTGGAGCCTGGGGCCTGCAGGGCTCGGCATCTGCTGCAGAACCTGGGCCATGGAAGATGGGCCATTGAGTACCCTCAACACAGAGACTGTGTCCACCGGGCCCAGGGACCAAGCCTGTCCCCCAGAAACCTGCTGTGAGACCTCTGGCCCCTTAGACCTCAGTGTTTGAGTGCAAAAGCTGCCTCAAAGCAGCCCTAATACCCCACCTAGAAGGAAGAGCCAGTGATTTGGGAGACCAAGAGGCAGGAAACCATCCCATCTTCTCCAGCCCATCACCACGTATGTTGCTGGAAGACACCAAGTAAATCCTAGGGTCTTAATGAGATACCATCACGCCAGCCCTGTGGGGTGATGGGGACATAGCTGGGTTTCCCTGAGCCACTCTATCGGGGTGGGAACGGGGACAGAATATGGTGACACTGGCTCCTCTCACCCCTAGGTCTCTGAAGGTCCAGATAGCACTGATGGCGAGCTTTCGGTCCGCACATTCTGGAGAGGAGAGAGGTGAAGGCTCTAGGTAGGGAGGACAGGGAGCCACTGGGCACAGGGTTCTCTCCTCTTGTGTAAAGCAGCAGCCCAGGGAGGGCTAGAGCTCAGACTGGACAGAAGACCCTCTGAACTCTGCAGCCGCCTTCCTAGAGTTGGGTTCACTGTCCGGCAGGGGGCAGCAACCACCAGCAAACACCCCTGCCTCCAGGAGCCTGGGCTGACTGGCTGGGACTCACCTAAGATCTCTTCTTCCTGGGCGGTGGCCTGGAGGAACTGGAACAGCTGCTCTGTGTAGCCCGACTCTGCGGAAAAGAGAAGACCTAGACCTGGTGCCCTACACAGACAGCCTGCCTCGAGGACTGCAAGGGAACAAGGGCCTCACCAGTATCGGGCAGCTGGCCCTGGTGGAGGAAGGCGGCAGCCTGTGCAAAGGCCTTGAGCAGTGGGCTGAGCAGGCGGCAGAGGAAGAGAAAGAAGTCTGGGCAGTGTGACTGCTGGCTGAGCTGTGGGGGACAGGCTGGGGTAAGCGCAGCTCCCCACCACTTCCCTACCACCTCCCTCCAGGGGCAGCTTCTTGAAACACACCCTAAAGTACCGACCCTCAGCCTCTTCAAAGTCATCACTGTCACTATCAGTAAAGTCCCCACTCGGTTTCCACAGCAGCTTCCTGCTCAGTCGCTGTCGCCCTGTGTCACAGGCTGACCGGGAGCCTGGGGTCTAGGGGCCATGGAGTCATAGTTCTCTGACAGGCTGGCCAGGGATCAACCCTATACCCCCAGACTAGGTACATGCAGGTGAATCCAGTAAAAGCAGACCTAGAGACCCAAGAGGTTGCTATGCAGAAGCTTTTTAACTTGATGTGCTCCCATTAGTCCAATTTTGCTTTGGCTGCCTCTGTTTGTAGGGTATTGCTACATAAATTTTTGAGCAAGGTGTAGTGGCTCATGCCTGTAATCCCAGTACTTTGTGACACTTACAGGGGTGGATTGCTTGAGGCCCAGCTACTTGGGAGGCTGAGATGCGAGAAAGGCTTGAACCCAGAAGGTGGAAGTTGCAGTGGGCAGACAATACGCCACTGCACTGCAGCCTGGGTGATAGAGCAAGACTCTGTCAGAAAGAAAGAAGGAAGGCAGGAAGGCAGGAAAGCATTTTTGCCCAGACTAATGTCCTGGAGATTTCCCCCGATGATTTCTCGTAGTAATTTCATAGTTCAATATTTTAAGTCTTTAAACACTTTTGATTTGATTTTACATATGGCAAGATACAGAAGTCTAGGATTTACTTTCATTCTTCTTCATATGGAAATCGAGTTTTCTCAGTACCATATACTGAAGAGACTGTCTTTTCCCCAGTGTGTGTTCTTGGTATCTTTGTTGAAAATGAGTTCACTGTAGGTGTGTGGATGTGTTTCTAGGTTATCTATTCTGTTCCATTGGTCTATGTGTCTGTCATTATGCCAGTACCATGCTGCTTTAGTTACTATAGCTCTGTAGTATAATTTGAAGTCAAGTAATGTGATTCCTCCAGTTTTGTTCTTTTGGCTTAGGATAACTTTATCTATACTGGGTCTTTTAGGGTTCCATATACATTTTAGGATTTTTTTTTTCTATTTATGTGAAGAATGTCATTGGTATTTTGATGGGGATTGCATTGAATCTGTAGGCTGCTTTGAGTATTATGGACATTTTAACAATATTGATTCTTCTGATCCATGATCCTGGAATTTCATTCCATTATTGGATGTCCTTTTCAATTTCTTTCATCAGTGTTTCATAGTTTTCGTTATTGAGATGTTTCACTTCTTTGGCTAATTCCTAGGTGTTTGATCTTATTTGTGGCTATTGTAAATGGGATTACTCTTTTAATATCCTTTTCAAATTGTTCACTGTTGACATCTAGAAATGCTAGTGATTTTTCTATGTTGATTTTGTATCTTGCAAATTTACTGAATTTGTTTTTCAGGTCTAATGTCTTTTTGTGTGGAATCTTTAGGATTTTTTGAAATACAAGATCATATCATCTGCAGACAAGGATAATTTGACTTCTTTTCCAATTTGCATGCCCTTTATTTATTTCTCTTGTCTGATTACTCTAGCTAGGACTTCCAGTCCTATGTTGAATCAACAGTGGTGAAAGTGGGCATCTGTGTTGTGTTCTAGATCTTAGAGGGAAGGCTTTCAGTTTTTCCCCATTCAGTATGATACCAGCTGAATGGTATTGTGTTTTAATTTCAAGTTCCACTTGTTCATTGTAGGTATCTAGGAACGTGATTGGCTTTTGTACATTAACCTTGTATCCTGCAACCTTGGTATAATTACTTATTAATTTTCTAATTTTACATTTTTTTTTCTTTCTTTTTTTTTTTCTTTTTTTTTGAGACAGAGCCTCACTCTGTAACCTAGGCCAGAGTGAAGTGGTGTAATCTAGGCTCACTGCAAACTCCGCCTCCCAGGCTTATACGATTCTTCCACCTCAGCCTCCCAAGTAGCTGGGATTACAGGCATGCACCACCATGCCTGGCTAATTTTTGTAGTTTTGGTAGAGACAGGGTTTTGTCATGTTGCCCAGGCTGGTCTCCGAACTCCTTGGCTCAAGTGATCCACCCACCTTGTGCTAGGATTACAGGTGTGAACCACTATGCCCAGCCTAGAATTTTTTTGTTTATTCTTTTCAGATTGTCTATATAGACAAACATGTCATCTGCAAACAGAGAGTATATTTTTTCCTCCTTTCCAATCTGTATACCTTTTGTTTCCCTTTCTTGTGTTATCACATTAGCTAAGACTCTGGCACAGTGTTGAAAAAGAGTGGTGAGAGGAGACATCCTTGCTTTGTTCCTGATCTTAGCAGGAAAGCTGTTTCTCACTGTTAAGTACAATGTTAGCTGTAGGATTTTTGCAGATATTCTTTATCAAGTTGAGGAAGTTCCCCTCTAGTACTAGTTTACTGAGATTTTTTTTTATCATGGGTGTTGTATTTTGTCAAAAGTGATTTCTGCATCTATTAGTATAATCATGTGATTTTTCTTCTTTAGCCTGTTGGTGTGATAATTTATATATCTAAATAAGTTTTGAATATTAAACCAGCTTTGCATACCTAGAATAAATCCCTCTTGGTCTTGGTGTATAATTCTTTGTTTACATTGTTAGATTCTACTTGCTAGTATTTTGTTGAGGAATTTTGCATCTGTGTTCATAAGAGATATGGGACCTATAGTTTTCTTTTCTTATAATGGCTTTGTGTGATTCTGGTACTAGGGTAATACTGGCATCTTAGGATGAGTTAGGAAGTATTCTCTCTGCTTCTATTTTCTGGAAGAGACTGTAGAATAGTGACATAATTTCTTCCTTGAATGTTTGGTGGAATTTACCAGTGAACGTATCTGGGCCTGGTGCTTTCTGTTTTGAAAGGTTATTCATTATTGATTTAGTTTCTTTAACACAGATAGACCTGTTCAGATTGTCTTTTTTTTCTTTTTCTTTTTTCTTGAGACAGGCTGTCACTCTGTTGCCCAAGCTGGAGTGCAGTGGTGTAACCACTCCTCACTGCAGCCTTGACATCCTGTGCTCAAGCAATCCTCCCACCTCCAGCTCCCAAGTAGCTGGGACAACAGGCATGCACCACCATACCCATCACATTTTTTATTTTGTAGGGACAGGATCTCACTGTGTTGCCCAGGCTGGTCTCAAACTCCTGACTTCAAGAGATCCTCCCTCCTCAGCCTCCCAAAATGCTGGGATTACATGCATGAGCCACCATCTCCCAGCACAGATTGTGTATTTCTTCTTGAATGAGTTTTGACAGAATGTGTATTTCAAGGAATTGTTTCATTTCACCTAGGTTAACAGATTTGTGGGCATCAAGTTTTTCATAATATTCCTTTATGATCCTTTCAATATCCATAAAAGGACATTAGTGATGTCACCCCTTTCATTTTTCATAATAGTAATTTGTGTCTTCTTTTTTTCTTAGCCTGGCTGGAGGCTTATGAGTTTCACCTACCTTCAAATAAACAGGTTTTGATTTTGCTGATTTTCTCTACTGACTTCCTGTTCTCAATTTCATTGAGTTGTTTTAGTTTTTATTATTTACTTGCTTCTGTTTACTTTAGATTTAACTTTTTTTTTTTTTCTATTTTCCTAAGGTGGAAGCCTAGATTACTGATCTTTGACATTTCTTCTTTTCTAATATAGAATCTAATAATCACTTTAATTCATTCAATGTTATAAATTTCTCTCTAATCACTGCTTTTACCACATCCCACACATTTTGATTAGTTGTCTTTTCACTTTTGTTGGTTCAAAATCTTGTTTAATTTCCCTAGATTTCTTCTTTGGCCCAGACATTACTTAAAAGAGTATTGTTCAATCTCCAGGTAATTTGATGGTTTCCAGCTGTCTTTATTTTATTGATTTGTAGTTTAATTCTGCTGTGGTCTAAGAGCACACAGTATATGACATATATTCTTTAAATTTGTTAAGATGTGTTTCATGGCCCAAAATGTGGTATCTTGGTGAATGTTCCACACCAGCTTGAGAAGAATGTGTAATTTTCTGTTATTGGATGAAGTAGTCTGTAGATGTTCATTATATCCAGCTGATTGACGGTGTTTTTGAGTTCCACTATGTTCTTACTGATTTTCTGCCTGCTTGCTCTGCCAATTTCTGATCAATGAGTGTTGAAGTCTTCAACTTTAGTAGTGGATTCATCTGTTTCTCCTTGCAGTTCTGTCAGTTCTTCCCTCATATACTTCTACGCTCTGTTGTTAGGGGCATATACACATTCAGGATTGTTATGTCTTCTTGGAGAATTGACTCCTTTTTCTTATGTAGTGTCTCTCTTTATCTCTGGTAACTTTTATTGCTCTTCAAGTCTGCTCTGCCTGAAATTAATGGAGATATTCTGGGGATGTTTTTGATAAGTATTAGTATGGTATATCTTTCACCATCCGTTTAATTTTAATCTAGGTGCATCTTTATATTTAGGATGGGTTTCTTGTAGACTACATATAGTTGTGTCGGATTTTTTAATCTACTCTGACAATCTCTTTTATTTTATTCTTTCTTCCCACCTTTTATTTTATGTTCAAGGGGTACATGTGAAGGTTTATTACTATGTGGGTCAACTGCATGTCACGGGAGTTTGGTGTACTGGCCATTTTGTTACACAAGTAACAAGCAGAGTACTCAATAGGTAGTTTTTCAATCCTCACCCTCCTCCCATCCTCCACCCTTAAGTAGGCCCCGGATGTCTGTTGTTCCCTTCTATGTGTCCATGTATACTCAGTGTTTAGCTCCCACTTATAAGTGAGAACATTCATTATTTGGTTTTCTGTTCCTGTGTTAATTCACTTAGGATGATGGCCTTCAGCTCTATCCATGTTGCTGCAAAGGACATGGATTACATTCTTTTTTATGGCTCTGTGGTGTTCCATAGTGTATATATAGTCTATCATTGATGGGCATCTAGGTTGAATTCATGTCTTTGCTGTTGTGAATAGTGCTGCGATGAACATATGCCTGCATGTGTCTTTATGGTAGAATGGTTTATATCCCTTTGGGTATACACCCAGCAACGGAATTGCTGGATTGAACAGTAGTTCTGTTTTAAGTTCTTTGAT